CAATCGGTGGCTGACTAAATACTTTTTTGCCCCACTGTATATTTTCACTCTTAGACGCTACTAGAGCAGCTTTGCATGATTCACTATTCAAAATAATGCTCATTTAAACATAATTTATACTGAGCTTTGGTGCAGCCCCTTAATTCATCCACTGCATGAAAGAAGGTGTTGTAGCTTCTCTCACTTCAAGCCGCCTTTGAGCAAAGCCAACAGGATCCTAAAACACACTTTTGACCCCTGCCGCGACCGAATCACCCTCCTGCCAACAGTGATGCATCACAGAAGGAGCCACTGTTTCACCAGACTTGGAAGCAGTTTTTTTCCCTCAGGCTTTGAGTCTACTGAACTCATTCTCTACACATCTCCATGAAAAACAGTGACCTTGTGTTTCATTGGTTATATGAATGGGCACTCTGCTTTAATTCAGGATTAAAGACAGATAAGATAAAAATAAGTAGAGGAAAAATAAGTATGTGTGACAGATGTCAGAAAGATGTCATCTATGTATCTGACAAAGATGTGTAAGATAGGAAATCAAAGTCAAAATCACTTCTATAACCAGTGCCATCATTAAAAGAAGACTTAAAGTAAACATGCAGGACTGAAGTTATCTATGGAGGGACGGTGCAGTGCGGTCATTACTTGAGGCTCTCTTGAGATGAAGATGAGGAGCGGTCACTCTGGGGAAGTGAGGCCACGCTGCCAGAGCTCTTCAGGCAGGACTGGAGGGGCCTTTGGTATGAAGGCTCTAAGGAGTTGTAAAGAGCTTCAGTTTCTGCTGGAAAATGGTTCCTCAGACCCCAGTAAGCCCTGAAAGAGACAGAAGAGCAGATGAAAACAGAGGCAGAGATGAAGACAAAAAGAGAAATGTACGAGGGAGGATAAAAGTTGGTTTATGAAGGGGGGTGGATGGAGCAAAAGTGAAGAATCTGGGGGATTCATAAAGGAAAAAGAGGGTGGTGAGGAATTTACCACCATTTTTCCCCCCACATAATGTGTTTTTCGGTATGTCTGTCTTACTTGCGAGCCTCCACTCTGGCCTCTGAGTCGGCATCTCGAATTCCTTTTTTGATGCTCTCAACCAGGACTGCAGTGTGTCTGAAACAATAACACAAACGGACGCACAAAGAGTGAACCAGCCAGTCTGAAACACATCTGGAAAGCACATTAATAGGAATCCGACACTGCGATGCTTTTGCATTTATGAAGTCAGTATGACCATCACAGCTTTCCTCTGAAAAACTGATGAGTGCTCACCTTTCTAGTGAGTGGGTCTGCCATTCCTGTAGCAGAAGGTCCAAGAAATCATAACAGCGCCTAAAGAAAACACACAAAAAACAATGTCACATAACAACATCTCCAAATGTATTTTATGTTCAGCTGGTGCTAAGCTTCTTATTGTGGTGTTGACATGAGGGCCTTTGCTAATCTCACCTTCTCACTGCTACAGACTTGGATGTGCAGTTACTGGTTATCAGGGGGATGAGTCTAGGAACGTGGGTGTGCTGCAGAGAGGACAAGCAGCACTGAGCAAAAGTACACCGCAAAAGTACTGATTTAATTACGTGTTTATAAAACTCACCCGTATGATGATTCGGATAGCAGAGACACCAGAGGTGGCCATGACTTTGGCACAGTTGGGAATGAGGTTAAACAGGACGGGAACGATGGCTTCCGCTCCGTGGTCAAATTTATTCCCCAGCACTGATGAGAGGTGGCTGTAAGGAGACACCGGAGAACGCTCAGATGATGAAAACAAACACGAGCCTTCAAGCTCGTGCTGCAGTGCGATTGTGTTTGCTATATATATTTCTCAACACTCACGCCACAGTGATACAGGCCTCTCGGACCACTTGTGAGCGCAGGTCTTTAGCGGACAGTTTGAAAGCTCCATCTAGTAGCCGTAGGTGCTGGTAGAAGCAGTCGTAGCTGGCCGCGCCTGCCACCAGCAGGGAGCGAATCTTCTTAAGCTGTTAAAGAGGTTAAAAAAAAAGAAAGAGGGAAAACAAACAATAACATATATTATTCATTACATTTTACTGACCTAACTTCAAAATTATTTTCTGAAACTTGGTACTGGATTTACTGACAGCGTTGGCTCTCTGGTCCCAGTCGTGTTTGTCATCAGAGCAAATCTCACGGATCTTATTCAGGTTGTCATCAAGATCTCTTGTTGAGTAGATCTGCAACACAATGACAATCTGGTTTTTAAATGCCTGTATTACTAAATGATGAAATTAATGGGTGGATGCATTTTATTATATTTTGTGTGAGTTTGTACCTGGACAGTAGGGACATCTGTAAAGGCTTTTATGAAATCCTCTTCATCAACTGCCCCGGCACTTTCCTTGGACACTGGGAAGAAAAGAAAATCAGAACAGAGTTGATTAAAATGCAAGTGTGTGTTCATTTAAATTATAATACATCCATATTTAATCATCCATGAGTCCACAACCCTAAGGCCAAAAACACCTTGGAAATAATGGATGGAGGGACACGCAGAAGAAATACTAGAAACGCCTGCGCCTAGTCACTAGGTCTTTGTTGTTTTTTTTTTTTTCTTTAAAAACACCCACAGTTAGTAGAAACTGATACAACTAATGGATTGATGATTAGTGTAGGGATTCAAAAGGTTCTGGACTGGCAGGTTTTGTGATTCTGCTTAAACTAAAAAACTAAAAAACAAACAGCTACTCTTACAATTATCCACACACACACACCACTGTGAGCAGACTCTGTTTCTAATGGACTTCCTGGCAGTAATGGGAATGTAAATCATCTCTCTCTCGGGGCTGTGGACCACACCTCCTATAACTCCTACAGTAGGGAGGCAGGGACAAGTCAGAAATAACAGACAAGGGAGGAAGAGACAAAAGGAAAAAGAGCCAAGGAAGGAGCTGAGAGTAATGCTGGAAAAGAATATGAAAACCATGAGATTAGAGCTGCTACTCAGGCTAGCCAATCATGGAGCACAAACATGGGAAAAGGAAGGTAGAAAAGCATCTCTTCCTCTTTTCCTCCGGGCTGGCTTGGATATCAAGCTGCACCACAACGACATGTTATGTCAAAACTCTACATGGCCCTTAGAGATCTTGGAAAAATCGATGCAGCTGGCTGGCTAGCTCTAGCCAATATCCCCTGTCTGTCACGGATGCAGCCTGATCATGAAAGCCACCTACCAGAACACCAACACCATTTCCAATTAGTTTTATTGCAGGGCATGCTGTCAGAGTGAGCAGTTATAGAAGCAATAAAGCATATTGTCATTTGTGTAAACAGACCTGGGAGATCATAATGTGGAAATATGAGTATAAAAAAAAAAAAAAAAAAAAGGTGCCGCTTTGATTGAAGGCTTGACATAAAGCAGCCATCTTGACCTTTTACAGAACCAAGAATGAGACGCCTGTTCTTTACTGATACAGGATTTATCTAATACTGCAACTTACTATCACACCATCTTTCTTCTTTCTGTCTGAGTGTTGCTTTCGTGGTGTGCGAGTGTGTGTGGGCGTACTGCCGTCTAAATGCAAATTCACACAAAAATTGACAGATTCCCATAAAAATGGATAAACGGAAAAGCAAAGCACCAGAAATGTTTCGGCTGCTCCCGACTGAGATGTGTTTTCATCGAAAGTGCTTCAGTTGCTTTAATCACTCACTGGGTCTCATGTTGAGAACAGATACGATTCTGTTTTAATTAATGTGTGTTTCTATCCAGGGTCATTCCTCAAACGGTAACTATAATCAGATAACACTTCTCTGTTGGATTATTCCTTCTGTTACTCTACGTCACAGACATGCTTGAGTTTTTCAAAGTGCGATACTGATACTCAACATTCTGAACAATTTTGGCTTGTTGAAACACTCAGATTTGGGGATTGGGTGCCTGGTCTTTCATGAAATGACCCTGCGTCATTGCAGCACTAAAGTGATCAGTGTGCACTTTATATAACGCAGAAGTCTTGTTGCTTGCTGCTGTGCCAACTACCAGAGCTGCCACTGCTCTGCTAACGTGTTGCTGATGCCACAACTTCTGTGTGAGAAAATCGCAAATTTGAGCCAAAAGTCACGATAGGCCTCTCCCTCCCTACTGCATTGAACTTAACAAGGTACAAGTTTTTGAGCTGTAGCCCTGTGTGTGCAAAAAATACTTGTAATGCACCTTATTTAGCTTCTCGCAGTCAATCCATAATCAATAAGGCTGTAATGATCTAAGAGGGAAGAGATCACAATCTTGTTTTTCCATGCAGCAGACCAATGCATTCAGACTACCAGTGTATGTGTGGATGTGTGCGCCTGTGTGTGACACAGATAGAGCAACAGGCAGCATGTTCATAAGAGCTTCCTACTGAAATAATAAACGACGGGAAAAATCGATACATGCAAACAGGGCCCAAATATAACACTCCAACCAGCTGCACCAGAGAAGGATTCAAATCATTTCAAAAAGCAGATCATCTGAAGGTCTGAGTAAACTACAGAGATGAGACAAATCAGAGAGGAGAGACAGATTTCAGAGGACATACAGGGGTGTCTCTTACTGCACCCTGTGGCATGCTTACTCATGTCTTTTGCTTCTTGTAATAGCTGTCAAAGTCACTGTCCTTATCCTGTTAACAACAATTCTATACCTTTACTGACAGTCTACATCCAATCAGGCATCCAAAACAAACTAAAATTGACCAACAATGAATTATGAGGACAGTAAAGGTCATTTCCCCCCCTCAGACAAGAAGTAAAATTCGTTATTTACATTGTTTTATATACTGTAACACCAAAGCTAAGAGGGAACGCATATGTGGACCGTGCTCATTTCACAGCTCACAAAATACAGATTAAAATTTATTAAGAAGATGAAAACATCTTGTCTGAATTAATCAAAAAAATTTAATTAAGGCGCCAAACAACAACGACAGGGTCTAATTGTGGGGGACTACAAGTAATAATACTCATAACACCAGTCAGTAGTTATTAAATGATATCAAACCCACATCTAAGAGACAGAAAATAGTCTATATTAGGTTTATAATACATGATGTTACACAAATATCTCCCAGTGCAGGAACACAGACCAGAGAGTGAATGTTTCTCCTTGCACCTTAACTGCAAAGAGAGGTACAAGTAGCTGTATGTCTCAGTGCTTATATATAGTTATAAGGAGGGTGGATCACAGTTAGATCCAACAGTTTGCTCCTGTACACAGCCAAAGTAGATTTTGAATTTAAACTGCTTGATTTGCAGACTTTCAACTTTAACAAAAGGGATTTCACTGCATCTGAGCAGAGAGTACAAGTCACAGTTCATCCTGAGACTTTCACCCACTGGCCCACTACCCATGTCGCTATCATGATATGCCAGACAATGTAATAAGCTTTGGATCATAAGTTGTTTCTCACACTGTCCTATCCACTGTGTGTGTAAATGTAAATTAATTTACATACCTAGCTTGCCACCAGTAGCGCTGGGCCTGCGAGCAGCGGACGACTCTGCAGGCTTTTTGGGAACTTTGGGAACCTTGAAGGCAGCTTGGGCTGAGGAAGAGCGACTTCCATCCACACTGTCATCATCATCAAAACTACGATCTGTAAGGCGGAAGACAATGTGTAGCGTTAGCATCCAACCTGTGTGTAAATACAGTTGCAAAGGCTTTACAACATTACCTTGAAAAACACAAAACAAACAGACTAAAAAAATTAAACAATTGTTTTATTTGTTTTCACAACATGCAATAAAATAATTTACTAATAAACATGTATATAGTCAATAAGATTACCTTAAAAACAAAAACAGAAAAATCTGCATCTGCTTTCAGAAGCAAATATACTGAATCCCAATTGCTAAAAATCTAGACTAACATTTTTATTTGTTGAAACCTTTAAAATATTTCACATAACGTTGGCTTTTATTTGTCACTTAAATGTTAAGTATACAGAGGTTAAGGCCACTGGAAGACAATGCATGGTAGAGGGAAAAGTAATGGTTAGAAGCACAAAGAGGATGTAGCCTACCGAAAGCTAAGTCAGGAATCACTAAATCAATACCAATTACAAAAACCGCACTCAGTGGGAGAAATAAAAAAGCAAACCCTCAGACCTATACGATCACTTCAAAGGAGGAATGAAGCCAAATCTTCAAGATGTCCAACCTCTACACCACCAGTGACTGACAGAACTCTCCAGAGCCCAAACCCTCAATCTGCATGCTAGCACAAACTATGCTAGCTGTCCAGCTTGCATGAAACTTGAGAATGTCTGAAACGATGCTGCAGCATTTGCAACAATATGTGAGGGCAGACACACACACACACACACACACACACACACACACACACACACACGTTGACTGTGAAGATCAAACTGTTGGCATAGGAATGTAGTTGCGCTCCAGTCGCTCTGACAACCAGCTATGGAGAAATGCGCCAAAGCCACCACCCTACACCTTCACTCATACATCAAGTTATTTACATGCACACAGAGACACGCAGTCGACATATGCAAAATGAGTGACAAGCATGAATGTGTACGTATGAGCCTCATTCTCCAATGTTATGGACAGACGATTTTTTCAAGCTAGATAAATGTTAAGTGGACGTGTACAGACACACATCAACAGCCATGAACTGACATTTACGCACAGTCTTTGACACACAAACACACAGTCCAGCACACCCAGGTTCATCCTTCCACTCACAGTCACAGATGCGTTGGCAGATAAGTCGCCTCATGCTTCTGGGAGGGCGTGGTGTTGGGGTCCCTCACCTCTTCTCCAAACAGTACCCCAAAACAGGTACGTGCACACCACACGCACACACATACACACACACCTCACATATACTTTATGTGAGGTGTCTAAGGCTGCGCACGCACACACCCCTCACATCGCTGTCCGAAAACCCCTCCACCCATACAAGTGCCGGCATTTTCTTTCACTCCTCTCCCTCTCCTATCCCTCCCTCTCCCAGCCTCTCTCCTCCTTCTCTTAGCAGCCTCACAGCCAATCAGGCAGGAGGTGACATCATGTTGTTGCAGCCAGTGTGGAGGCAGGAGGATGAATGCGTGTGCGTGATGGGAGAGAAAGGGAGACACACACAGACACCCCAGGAATATTAACAGGGCTTCTCTATGTCACTGCCAGACCAGCTAACCTAAACTCATTACAACCACCAGACAGCACAAATGCTATCTTCTAGCATCCCCCCCCCTCTCTCTTTCTCACCCTCACACACACTCACACACAACAACAACAACAACAACCTCTGAACACACTTTCTGTTGCTATATTTCTGTTTCTCCAAATGCACAAAGGAACAAAGGATAATGGAACAATGATTAAAGGAGAGTGTTGACAAGGGGGGTACAAAGGGTGAACCACACCCCTCCATCTGAGGCCTTGACCCTCCCACACAAACATACACCCACAGAGCAGTTAACAGAGCCTGTAGACAGAGATGTTTTTGAGTTTGACTTTTTTAAACTCGAGTACTAAATAAACACAATTTTAAAATTATCTGTTACGGTTGCAGCATCTTCATAATTACTTTGCTAACGGGGCGATTTTAGCTTTACAAAGCACGCACACATAAAAGCACATCTGTTTTTTTGAGACATCGTGTTAGAGAAAACTTTTGATTTTCCACTTGACAAAAGCAGCCACTTACTCTCAGTGAGAGCTCTACACGGTAATCCACATAGTATGAGGCGAGAAGCTACAGGTTCAGCTAAATCTGCTGAAATCACAGGATCCATATAAAAAAAAGAAATATTAAAAAAAACAATCCAGTTTTGAGATCCCTTTCCAGACGCCTTAACACCCACTCACATCCGGGGCCATCTGATCTCAGGAATTCGCATGATAAGGTGGGGCCAGGTTTCACAATGAACTCACCCAAAACTCTGGCTGATTGGGACCCACACCCAGTTTCACACCTTGGCTCAGG